TGTCCATCCCTTTATGACCACAAAACCATTACTAGCGTGGTGTACCTAATAAAGTGGCCGGTGAGTGTATATGTAATGACTATTTTTATTGTCGTTTTCATTCAATGATCTGAACATATGCCTCACCGGCTTGTCAGGCCAAGAAAGAGTCTGATTTGATGGGTCACTCTGAAATGAAAAACACAGTTTCAGTGAAAATCAATATATAAATGTAGAAATCAGTGCTAGATGTTAAATAACTTTAAAGCCAGCGTGATCAAACACCCACCTTTGGGCTCGACAGTGGCTGATAAGGGTTAAAGTCTGTATAATAAACCTAATAAAAAAATTTCAGAAAAATTAAAAATTAAAAAATTTACCATGAAAATCTCGAAATGGAGCATTTAAATGCAGTGGTATACTGTATACAAATCATGTACTTCAATAGAACAAAAGTTAAACGGATAAAATCTTCTCGGGAYATTCGTCACCTTTGGCATAAAGAGGGAGGAGCAGTTTTCGAAGTACGTGTAGCCGTGACTGTAGAAGCCACTCCATCCGTCTCTCAACATGTGGTCCATGCCAAACATGTTCATCGCTTTGTTGTTCTTCAGAGAAACAGGAAAGAAAAAAAAACCTCAGCTTTCAGTCACTTCACATTTGGATGATTTCAGATTAAGAGTGCAGCTGAGTTGGACATAAAAATGGAACTAAAGTCTGAGAACTCATTTCATGAGAAATATATCAACATCCATCTAATGGTCTATAATATATTTTACCAAAAGACAGACAGAGTTGACTTTAAAKAGTTAATAGTAAAATTCTATACAAAGACATCAACAAACACGTAATACTCACAGGGGTATTGAAGACCTCATTATAACAAACAGAGGAGCGTAGGTACCAGCTGATGTTAAAGGCCAGGTTTCTGTCACATGACCCCGAATCGTTCTGAACTACAGCAAGAGCAGATGGACAGTGTCTCAGAGGGTAGCAGACTGAGTTATTAGGCTGTAAAATGGCCACGATTTTAAACTTATAACACAGACTATCACGTGCAGAACTTAGGCTTTATGGTCTGTTGGAAAAAATATATTGTGAATAATTTTCTTGTACATAAACTAAACAAGGACTGCAACAAAATAAATCTCATTAGAAACAAAATGTGCTCTGCATGTTGAAAAAAAAAATATCGGTCTAGAAAAGACAACCTGTGTTGAAGATGTCCCGACTACTTACACCTCATAAATATAGTGGTGTTGGCATACAGCGTCTTTCGAAACACTGCATCCTGTGTCTGAAAACAACAGAGAAAGACACAATCGGTCCCACTTCAGATTACACAACAGGTCATCAGCAATCACTAGGGGTGTAAGAAAATATCGATACACTGAAATATCGCGATATGTCATTTCCCGATACTGTATCGATATTCTAAAGCCCTGTATTGATTTTTAATTAAGGTTTAAAATGTCAACTTTCCTGCCAGCCGTTCATTTTTATGTTGTAGTTCAGCCTCTGACCACTAGTTGGCAGCAGTGAGCCAGCCATTTGGCTCCTCTACCTCTTGAGCGCCAGAGAGTAAGGGTAGCATTAGCAGTGTAAGTAGCTTTTCTTTTTCTTTCCAGTAAGAGGTTTTTATTTAATAGAATTTTTGGACAAAAAAATCGCAATATATCGCAATATATTGCCTTGATTACAGTATCGCAATATATCGTGATATATCATATCGTGACCCCTCTGTTATGATTTGTATCGTATCGCCAAATTCTTGCCAATACACAACCCTAGCAATCACAACTCTTTCCTGAGTCTGGTCATTTTAAACGAGAAGAAAAATAACAGGCAGTCTGTATGACAGCACAATTTTGATTTTAAAGGGAGGTCTTACGTATTTTCCAGGCACATATTTCAAATCTATACCACAATCAAGTATGCATACATGAATGAGTCAAATGGATGATGCAATGATGACATTATAATGTAATATAAAATTCAATAAAGTCAATTTTGCATAACACTCCACCACCTATAAATGAAAAAAAAAGAAAATGGAAAGAAAAACAGTATTTTGTAAATGTATTGGAGTAATAAAGCAGACATATCCATAATAAATATTCAAAAGATTAAAATAAATAATAAATGATGCTACTGCTGAAATTTGTCATACTGGACAGAGAACTCCTATTTACAGAGATCCTTTACAACATTTTAATCATGGGAAAAATAAAGTTTAGGGTTTTCTTCATCAGAACAYAATAAAAAAATCAGTCATTGTCAGGTTTTAAAGTTGTTCAAATCTAAACTTAAGTGTACAAAATTGTACAAAAGATGAAGCAGGAGAGCTGCTCCGAAGCAGACAGGTGTGWGTTAACACAGTGCCCAAAAGGAAAGACATCAGCAGGTCATAACAGGTTAAAATGTAAAGTTTATGACACGTCAATTAGAAACATGCTGCTTGTTTGGATAGTTTGGGAGGAGAGAAAAGCTAATCCTTTAAAAAGAACACTGTTTGCAAAGTTCCATCTGACTGAACCACAAGACTTCTGGAACATTGTTCTTATGACACATGAGACCAAATTAGAGATATTTACCCACAATGCACAGCAGCATTTATGGAGAAAACCAAACACAGCATGAGCACAAAGACTTTATACCACCTGTCAAGCATGGTAGTAGAGGGTTGATGATTTGGGCTCGTTGTGCAGCCACAGGACCTGAGCACTTTGCCCATGAACTCCTCTGTAGACCAAAATATTCTACAGTAAAACGTCGTCTGTCTAACAGCTGAAGCTTGGACCTAACTGGGTCATGATACAAAACAATTATGATCCCAAACACAGCGGCAAATCCACAACAGATCGACTGAAAATGAAAGAAATTAAAAGGTGTTTGACTGGTTCGGTACCCAGTCACAATCCAGACCTCAGCCTGATTGAAATGTTGTGTTGGGACCTYAAAAAGAGCTGAGCAGAAATCAATGTCTGAAAACCACAAGGAACAAAGTAACCTGAGTGGACCTGGCTTCTCCATTTTGACTTAGTTTAATAAATAATGACATCATGGGGAATCTCTTGTACACTTGAGGTTGAGTTTAAATTATTTTAGAACCTTTTCCAGACCATATAATTTTATTATGTACTGATGCACAAAGCCTCTAAATTGAAAGAGTGTGGACTTTAATTGACCCACATCAGAAGTCTATYAACTCCTATTGATGGCAGGGGCACATTCAGAAGCATTAGCCTCAAGAAGACAGTTATTCAGCTCATTTATCCTCTAACCTTTTCGTAATACAGTGGTGTGAAAAAGTGTTTGCCCCCTTCCTCATTTGCTGTTTTTTTGCATGTTTGTCACACTTAAGTGTTTCGGAACATCAAACCAATTTAAACAATAGTCAAGGACAACACAAGTAAACACAAAATGCAATTTGTAAATGAAGGTGTTTATTATTAAAGGAGAAAAAAAAATCCAAACCATCATGACCCTGTGTGAAAAAGTGATTGCCCCCTAAACCTAATAACTGGTT